AATATGACTGAAATTCACCGTCATTTCCAGCACCTGCAATTGCCGCATATGCTTCCTGAAAAAAAAAAGTGGGTAACAACCGCACAGTTTTTCTACGAAAGCAATTGCTACTGCCAACAATTAGGAAAAAAAGTAATCCTCAATTTCTCCCGTTGCTGTTTAGAATTAAAATTGAAAATGACGGCCTTCAAAATCATTTTCATGCGTTTTGTGCTGTGCAACAGCTGCAAAAAACACATATTGTCACGGAGCTGTCTGTGTGTATTGTGTGCACCAGTGCAACTTGTCCGTAACTTTCAACTCTGGAACTACAAAAGCTAGGAAACTGAAATTCTTGAGGAACGTTTCTCGCCCAAGTGTGACTTCGCATATTTAATTTCAGCCTTTCCCTGCTCCCGGGTAACGCGTACTACCCGTGAAAACTTTAGCGGGCAAGGTTGTTATTTTGAGAATTATGAAAGACTGGAAGCTGAAATTTTATGGTAATGACCTCTTCCGCCTACAGCACCGCAAATTTAAATTCGGTCTTCCCGCGCGTTCTGGCACCACATGCGGCCGCGTGAAAGTTCTAGCGAGGAAATTATTATCTCACAAATCGCAAAAGCTAGGGAACTATAATTCTCCGGTAATGCCTCCTGCCCAAGCACAACGTCGCAATTTCAAATTCAGCTTTCCCCTAGTTCTAGGTCCCACGTAGTCTTAGAAGGGAAAATATCTTGAGAATCACGAAAGCTGGGAAGCTAAAGTTTTAAGGTATTGCCCCTTACCCACGTATAACGCCACAAATTCAAATTCGGCTTTGAGTCTTAACATCCCCGTGAATGTTTTGATGGGAAAATTATTACCCGGAAGCCACAAGAGGTAGCAGACTGAAAATTTCACGATGATTTTTTTTTGCCTATAAAGAGGCCGCACAAACTCAAATTTGTTTTCCAAGTAAATTAAGCCTCAGGCACCGCCACCCAAAAGTTTTAGCGCGAAAATCACTCATAAGAAAGAAAATCAGGAGGTTAATTCTGGAAGAATGTTTATCGTACAAGGTTTTAGTTGGAAATTTCGCAACTTATTTCAACTATTTTTGTACAGACCAGAGTGGAAAGCAGTGAAACGTTTGCCTCCACAGCAGGCAAACGTTCGCTGGGCGGAATTGCACAAAACGCATGATCGCACCGGCTATCCATTATTTATTCTCTTTGCTACTGAAATCTAAACAATATTCTATTATCTATACCAACCATATTTTATCGCCAGATGATAATCTGTTGACTGCCGAGTTAGAAAGCCGAAGGATAAAGAAAAGTAAGAAAAGAAAGCGTCAACGTCACTAACAGGTTACTAAACAGCTATCAAAGGAAGATGTCAACTATGTCGATGGGGCAGCAGTATTGAAAATTACTGAAAATGAGCATAGAAGAAGCTGCAAAGAAAACGTCGAGTTCTGCGAATAATTCCTCTACTAACTTTTTTAAGTCAATTTTCCACTGAAAAATGTTCCGAAAGTTTTAACGCTCATGGAAATCTTCGAAAATATAATTCAAAAATTGCGCGTATTTTTGAGCAGGCTCCGAAAATGCTTACGAGCAGACCAGAGTATGGGGTCCCTTTGCTAGTCTTGTCAAATTTGTCCAGTTCACTGCTGCTGAATGTCATAAACAGCTTCTCCCATGTATATGTGTATGCTGATCGATCGTTCTTCATCGCGTCCATTTGCAGCGTATTCGTCGAGACGCTCACAAACCAGTCCAAGATTTTGTTCATAAAATTTATCACCTTAAATTACCGAGAAAAATTTGCGGAGTTAGACAACATTTCAGAAATTAAAAGAAACGATTAAATGGGAGTAAAGAAAACAGTAAAAATAAGCAAACGACTGAAATTAGCAGTAAGGAGGAGAGAAAGAGAGCAACAATCAGTTATATGAAAATTTACTATGCGCAAGGCTAAATATGTTCAGTGTATGGCAATTATATGGCAGAACATATATAGAAATGGAACCGAAAATTTCTGGCAGATGGGGAAGTATCACACTAAGCAGATATAGCGATAATCAGTAATATGGTAATAATAATAATAAAAGTGCAAAAAAGATGAAAGTTTCGCTTGTTGCAATTTGCACGCAAATTTATGAAGTCAAACCGTTTTAAAGTGGCCTTTGATCTCTTCCAAGCATTCCTGATATCGTCCTGTTCGAGTGCTTTCCGTCTCGGCATGCAGCCCTTCTTCAGCTACAGATTTAGCAGTCACTTTTGCGAGCTCTTTATCAAGAATGGCTGCTGAAAACGAGCAAATTTTAAAATTCAGTTAAATTTTAAAAAGACTCAAAGAATGAAAAGGGAATGCTGTGGAGTTCCCTTTTTAGTCGTCATTTAAAACCCTAATACAAAACAAACGCTTTCAAAAGTGATGCGAGCTAACCTTTCTGGCAGAATTCAGCTGCAGCTCCGACTAATTCACGCTCAGAAAATGAAAAACTGACAGCCTCTCGGCATATGTCTTCCACATTATGCGCCTCGTCGAGGATAACGATCGTATTCTTTAAGCTCAGACCTGCACTGGCACGAATAATTGGATCTGCAAAGCTGTTCTGTATTCTTCGACCCCCTTCTAAACTGTATGACTTTTGGCTGAGGATAATATGATAGCACAAAGAGGGAAAAAGCATTTTTTTCCATAAAGAAAACACAGTCCTGAACATTACAGTCACTAGTAGGATAAGAAAATACGTCTTTAATTTTGGCCAAACCAACCAATAGAAGGCTACTACTGCGTTCACAAAGCAAAATTGAACTAGTAATGAAACAAAATATCAAAGTAAAGCAAAAAAATGCCAGATTTTGCTCCTAGTTAAGAGTTTCCACGACAATTACTACACTAAAGTTTCTGCTCACTAAATTTTTAAGTAATAAGTTTGCAGACTGTCCCCATTAAAGCAAAATTTTTGTGCCGATTTTAAAGTAAAGAATTTCTTCGTCAGTTTTTACGTTGAGAAATTTTGCGCATTTTTAAGCTGAAGTATCAATCATACCAATGAGATAAGTGAATGGACAAAATACAATGTCAGCATCATCAATAAGCACTCGAGCACTGGAAAAGTACGGGCAAAGAGGAGGAGTGGAGCATCGCAATGCTTCAACAAGATCTTCCACATCCCAGATGTGATTCGCTTCGCCAACAGTTTGTGATATCAAACGCCTGATTGCACTGGGCCTCTCGTATTTCGCACGCATCGAATGCTTGTACGAGCAGCCTACCTGATTTCAACAGTAATGAAAAAGCCATAACCTTTTTAACAGAGACACAGCAAAAAACTATTCCTGCTTACGAATAAGAATCTAATAAGGAGTTGCCAAAGAATCTTATTGCCATGACTGACGTTTTTCATAGAAATTATGAGAAATTCATGAAGCAAAATTTCCCAACCTGCTTTTTCTTGTTTAACAGACATCAAAAATGATCGCTTCCCGGAACACCCAACTCCAGGAAACGATCCCCCCCCCCTTCTTCCCCCAAACCTTCTAGTTATTCTAACCGAAACACCCAATTACTTTACCAAAAAACAACACATTCCAACCTGGACACTATAAATTAGGATAGAGGCACTTCATTTAGTCCCATTTTAGTTAACGCAAAATTGTGAAAAACAAGAAATTTGCATTACCCCGTCGCGAGCTATCAGTTCTTTACATTTTGCATTGATGTCGGCACTAGCACGTGCGGCTGGATTGATGCACATGTGCTCACGGCTTGCCAGGATTGTGTGCCTATAAATGCGGCCTCATCACTTGCGGTTACGATAAAATAGATTTACTGAGTGCTGTTTTTACGAATTTCAGTATCATAGGAGATTACCTGATTTGTCCTTGCCGACCGTACGGTAATCGCGAGAATTCCTTCACCACTTGACCAATCTGTTTGTGCGTACGCGTCCCGTAATATATTGTTACACGTCTACAATCACATCATCCATAAGTCAAACATGACCGCACAACTGTTACACGCTAGAGGTATCTGCCACAGAATTTCGTTTTTTAATTTACTTGAGCGATTATTATCGGTACATTCATCTTCTACGTTGCCTGTACATTGGAAAATTTCTGTTAAATATTTCATTTTCTAAAACTTTTTAATATTGCAATATTAAAAACAAAAGTCAAAACCCTCTCCGTATTCATTCCGATGAGAAGCGGAGATATTGGACTGGTAGATGCGTGAAAAGTAGTAATGAGAGAAAAAGTAATGAAATGAAACGAATATGAAAAATGACTGAAGACTGTATAAAAATGTGTGTAACAGGGAATAAAAGTGTGCAAACGGAGACAGCCAGGGAAAAAGAACAACAAAAAACAAGTGGTTTCCAAAAAATGCACAATTTATCCATTTATATGCGGAAAGTATGGTTCTTAAAACCGGAACTCACGGCAGACATGTGTGGCCTTCTTCACTCGCATCTTTCTTCGATCCTTTACTGTCGTCCAACAAAGCACTCGCTTTTGACTGCAATATTCATTTAACGTTGTAATTATCTATTTCAAATATTCTGTTATCTTGCGCTATTTTCTTTTATATTTATTTTTATGCGTTTTTTTGCAACTATGCAGTGCAGAAGACGCATACTAACGAAGAGTTGTCTGTGTTTTCATTTCAAGACTTACAAAAGCTACAGGGGCTGAAAGTCTGGGAACATAATTTATATGGACGTACGAGCCCCAATCCCCAAAATGGGCGCTCCTACCCACGTGGCACCCACGTATGTCGCTGATTCAAGAATTTGAAAAGCTAGAAGACTGTAATTTTAAGACGATATTCCACGTCCACCTAAATCTCATTGAACTCAAGCCCAGCCCCCGGGCATGCGTAATACCCACGTACGGGCCGTGAAAATTTTTTTTTCGGATAAGTTGACAACTTGTGAAGCTGAGAATTTAGAAGACTGGTATTTTTAGCGAATATTCCCCATTTACATAGGTATTAATGAGCTCAAACCTAGCCCCCGGGTATGAGCCATTCCCACGAATGGGCCCATGAAAGATTTTTTCTTGTAGTTTGCTAATTCGGGAACCTGAGAAGCAAGAAGGCTGGGATTTTGAAGGGATGTTTTCTAACAGCCCTGTCGGCCAGTCTGAAATTCTTTTAGCTAGAAGCATCTGCCGAAAAAACCAGTGCCGTTAGCGACAAAAATCTGCGGGAATTACGCAAAAAAAGCATCTTCGCACGGGCAGCCCGTGTATTGGCCAATTATCTTAATTCCAACAGCTGGTAATTTCAGCAAAATTGAGTGTTCTTTATTACTTTGAGATTCAAATCGTCAACTTTTGTACACCTCACAGTCATACTGATATCTAGAAGACCGCACGAAATTATCACCAGTGCTCTTTATAAAATACCGCTTTTGACTATTTGCAGAATCTTAGTCGAGATTTAGGTCACCCCGTTAGTTTGAGTGCCAGTGACACCTTTTACTGTGAAGACAGTCTACAAGTCCTAACAAACAGCCATATTCATGCTTTAATTAAACTTTTTCGACCTAAAATTTTGCTTCCCTTCAAAAAACATCAGACTCTAAGATTATCCACAACATGCGCGATACAACAAAACATGCTAAATAAATCACTCGGTTTCGATCACTCTTTCCCACTTCTCACTTTTCCCCGCAGTGTAAACTTCTATTGGTGCAAAATCGAGCAGCCTCGGCTACAGAGTTAAAAGCATCAGTTCCCATTCTTTCCAAAATCTGCCACAAAGTAAACCTCAGAGGCAGTAACTGATCATTAACCTTGTTTGCGACGAAAGGTGATCCAACAACGGAGAAATCGTTGTCAAACTCCTCTTCCACTGAAAAAAGATCACTCATAAAATCGCTTAGTACAAGAGCAAACTGCCTTTGTAAAAAGCTTTGCCAGTGAAGTTGCATCACGGTGTTTCAGAACAGTTATGTCTCTATATCCGTCATCCCCTCTCTTCATGAATTTCAAAAAAAAACACTGCATGCTGATGCAAAATGTAGTAGATCAAGCTTTAAAGAACTGGACAATGTTAAATAAATCACTGCTCCACT